GGGTCTACTGGCCCCTTAATATATTTTTTGAAACTGTATGACATTGGTGCTCAAAAATATCCCCAAAAAATTCACGATATTGCTTCCATCGGCCCCTAAAAAATATTCTTTACAACTCTATCGATTCCATAAAAATATATTTTTTAATCTCTACATTATTGACTACACTAGCCCCTAAAAATATAATATATAATATAACAAGTAAAAAAGCTGTAAGTTCGGCCGGGCCGAACTTTTAATACTCTCCACCATTCGGTACAAATTTGGCAAATTCCAAAAAAAAATACCGTTAAAAATTCTGTTAAAATCTTAAAACTACCGAATGCTTTTACGACGACGTGGGCCTGCATAGGCAACTTTTTTCATAAATTATTACAATATTTAAATGCGAAACTTGAAGAAAAATCTGTTTATAATGTAGCTAAAATCGTCAAAATACCGAATATGGGGGGTACCGTTTCTGGCATGGGCTGAAGTATCCATTACGAACTTCACATGCGAAATTTGAAAGAATCCCTGTAAATAATGTCGTTAAAATCATTAAAATACCGAATATCGGGGGGTACCGTTATATGGGGGCTATATGAAGACGTGGACCTACATGGCTCATTTTTTGAATTTGGATGAAGTATCCATTACGAACTTCAAATACCAAATTTGAAACGATTCCGGTAAACAATGTCGCTACAATCATCAAAATACCGAATATCGGGGGGTACCGTTATATGGGGGCTATATGAAGACGTGGACCTGCACAGATAATTTTCTGTCTTAGGCTCTAGTATCCATTACGAACTTCAAATACCAAATTTGAAATAATTCCGGTGAATAATGTGCCTAAAATCATCAAAATTCCGAATATCGGGAGGTACCGTTATATGGGGGCTATATGATAACTTGGACCTACATGGCCCATTTACGAACTTAACCTGCCTACTGGGAAAATATACATGTGTGCAAAATGTTAGCCTTCTATCTCAATTTTTTCGAAAGATAGCGTGATTACAACAGACAGACGGACAGACACACAGACAGACAGACGGACATGGCTAAATCGTCTTAGAATTTTACGCTGATCAAGAATATATATACTTTGTTGGGTCTGACATGAGTATTTCGAGGAGTTACAAACGGAATGACAAAATTAATATACCCTCCATAGTATGGTGGAGGGTATAAAAATAACAATTTAACAATTATTAAAAGCTACCCGATTCTGAATATATTGATATTTGAAAAAATATTCTTCAATACTCCACGATCGATTTAAAAAACGTCATAATCCTCAAATATATATTCTGAAGAACATCACGATTCCTACTTTTAGTCCTCGTTTCTGATGTTCGTCCTTGAAAAAATAGGTTTAGAAAATCCCCGTTTGTGATGCTATTCTTTCGAAAAATAGTCTTCAAGAATCCACGTGCAAAAATTGGGTTTAAAAAATTTACGTTTCTGAAGTTAATCTTTCAAAAATTAGTCATTATGTCTTTGTGCATTTGTTTGTAACATGGAGAAGGAAGCGGGTTGGGCCCATAGTTACTTTTGAGGATCTCCATAGAATCACTTTCTGAGTTGATTTATGCATGTCAGTCCGTCTGTCCGTCCGTCCGCCTGTCCATGTATTCTTCTGAACAAAATGCAGGCCGCTTTCATTATCCGATTGAGATGAAATTTTCCAAACAACATTTGTTTGGCCCATATTGGTTCCATAAATCTCAAAAAAATGTCTCTAAAACTCTAAGATTATGGCTCTATTAATCCTCAAATATTGAAATTGGAGATAATCGGTAAAAAATTAGATATAGCTCTCATATATATCTTCGCGGGATTTGCCTTTTATTGTGCACCAAACGTGTAATATCAGCCCGAATAGTATGGAATTTTGCACATACAACCAAATTAGACCTGAAAAAAGTATGCCAAATTCGATCGAAATCGGTTCAGATATAGTTATTGCTCCCATATATATTGTCCATCCGATTTGTTATTTTTGCCCTCCGCAGCCGTAATATGCACTCTGTAACAACAATATTTGGGGAAATATATAAAATACAGCTCAGAAATATCTTTGCTACATTTTATCGAGTTCAGTTCAGCTTTGGATATAGCTCCCATATATAACTTCGTCCGATTTACCTTTCATTGTACACCAAACGTCTAATATTTGCCCAAATTTGGCGGAATTTGCGACCGAGTTGAGTCTAGAAGCTAGTATGCCAAATTTGGTGAAGATCGGTTTAGATATAGCTATAGCTCCCATATATATTGTTCATCCGATTTGTTGGACAAATCGTGACGTGACAACGATATTCAGGGAAATATATTAAATACAGCTCAGAAATATCTTTGCCAATTTTTATCGAGATCGGTTCGGATTTGGATATAGCTCCCATATATATATCTTTATCCGATTTTAATTAACTGTGCACTAAATGGGCAATACAAGTCCGAATTTAAAAAATTGAAATGCTTCGGCATATTTAGTCCTTTGAGCTTTGAATTATGATTATAATCATAGCGTGTATCCCATAAAATCTTTTAATTGTTATGTGGAGCTCTACTAAATTAGCAAAGTGGTGTAGGGTATCATAAAGTCGGCCCCACCCGACTTTTGGTCTTTCTTTACTGGTCAAAAATCTACGTTAAAAAATTAGGTTTAAAAAATCTACGTTTCTAAAGTTAATCTTCAAAAATTCACGTTGAAAAAATTGTTTTAAAAAATCTACGCTTCTAATGTTGATCCTTCAAAGATTAGGCTTAAAAATCCTCGTTCCTGATGCCGATCCTTGAAAAAATTAGGTTTAAAAAGTTAAAATTATGTATAAAAAATATACGTTTTTGATATTCATCCTTGAAAAATTGGATTTAAAAAATTCTAGTTTCTAATGTTATCCTTCAAAAAATCCACGTTTCTGATGTTGATCCTTAAAAAATTAGGATTAAACAAGTAAAAAAGCAGCTAAGCTCGGCCAGGACGAATTTTTAATACCCTCCACCCTTTGGAAAGAACTTAAAAATTTTCAAAAAATTCCGAAAAATATCGCTTAAATGAAAACCGTTATGTGGGGGTTATACGAAGATGTAGACTTGCATAAGTCATTTTTTGTCATAGGCTATAGTGCCTATTAAGATCTTCAAATACGAAATTTGAATTTCGGTGCATAAAGTCGCTAAAATCATCAAAATACCGAATAAAGGGAGGTAACGTTATTTGGGGACGAAAACGTGGACCGACATGACCTATTTTCGAAATTAACTTGCCTTTTGAAAAAAACACATGTATGAAAATTTCCTTCCATCTCAATTCGTTCAAAGGATAGTAAGACAGCAGACAGACATCGCTAAATCGACATTGAATTTTGCGCTGATCAAGAATATTTACACTTTGTTGGGTCTGTCATGAGTATTTTTAGTGTTTATTATACCTTTCATAGTATGGTGGAGGGATAAAACATCTAAAATTATTTTACAAAAATCCACGATTCGGACTCCGATCTCTCTGATCCAGAAAAATATATTTATAGAAAATACTCTCGATTGGGAAAATACATTCCTTAAAAAATTATGGTCCTTTGGTCTTCAAAAAAACTTAAAAATGTCAATATCCGTTCCGCTCAGGTTTGAGCTAAAATGCTTGCCAACACCATTTGGCAACTGATCCCAGATAAAGAAAATACACAGATATGAAAAAAAAGTTTAGAAATATTAAAAAACAGGAAGAGGAGTCCTTACTTGGCCTTCATTTTAGACGACCTCAAGCAGATAGCCTTCCTTAAAGGCCAGCGACCGCAGAGAGTCACCTTCTCTCCAAGAATCTGCAACAAGGAGTCGCCTTCTCTACAGGAAATGTGCAGTAGGGTGCCGCTATCTGTCTAGGAAACCAGGTACAGAAAGTCGGCTTCTCTTTGGGCCTGTTTCAGTAGAGAGCCAACGTCCCTCTTGAACTTGTTTAGACAAATTCAATTTAACAGCCTTCCTTATAGGCCAGCTTCCACAGATAGTTGCTTTCTCTCCAGGAAATCTGCAACTAGGAGTCGCCTTCTTTCCAGAAAGTTTGCAACAAGGAGTCGTCTTCTCTTCGTCCTATAGTGTCGCCTTCTCTCTAGGCGATTTGAAGTATAGAGCACAATCCTCCTATGCGAGTTGAACTATAGAGTCGTTTTACCTCTAGGCGAGCCAAAAGAAGGAAGTGTGCCTTTGTTATAGACGAGCTGAGGCACGGAGTACAGAAGAGAACTGAAAAAAGTCGGAGGCATTTGCACCCCTGTCTGAGCTATCTTAGAATAAAAGTTTTGAAGGTTTGATGGCATGCCTACTTGACCTTAACCCTTTGTCTATTGGCAGAAGAAGTAGATGATTTCAGACCTCAGAAAAACTCGCTCACTCAATTTTTCGATGACGCTCGTGAATTTTTAATGAATATTGCTTTATCGAAGATTTTGCCATTCTAGTTAGGCTTGGATGAAGCGGTACATTATATACTTTATGGCTCTACTAGTTTCAGAAAAAAAATTAAATTTATATAAAAATCTCTATCATAATTCTTCGAATTATTTCAGAAACTCAAATAATGGAATGCGTTACGACTTTGAAATAAATTTGCCACGGCTTCAGGGAGAAGGCAACTATGACATTAATGGCCAAATTTTAACATTGCCTTTGAGAGGAAATGGACCCTTTACCGGCAATTTCAGTGAGTAGTTCAAAATCTTTCCTCAAATTCATTTAATATTCTTTTTTCTCAAAAATTCAGCTAATTTCTATGCCTTTGTGAAAATCCTTTTCGACGTCAAGGAAGTCAATGGCGAAGAATATCTGCAGATCAATAATTTAGAAGTGAAAATTCGTACCGGCAAGGGACGCATACGCCTGGAAAATCTCTTCAACGGTGACAAGGCATTGGGTGATGTGGTCAACGATACGATCAATCAAAACTTCGAAGTCTTTACAAATGAGCTGATTGGACCCATTGAACGGGCCTTGGAGAAGAAATTCTTGGCTATATCACGTAAAATTATAGAAAATTTCACCTACAATGAATTGTTCCCTGTGTAAAGCAAGAAGAAAAGCAAATTTTTGAAATCAACAAAATTTGTAGAAGTATTTTTTTTTTGGAAACTATTATGAAAAAAAAATTATTGAAGGATTTTTTTTGGTCGTAAATTTGGTCATTGTGATGATAGCTTTATTATTTCCTTATGTTTATTTTGTATATTCCTTTTCAATGTGTTTGGAAATTCCACAATATGCTCCTGATTACATTCGTCTTTAAGTTAGTAAACAATAAAAAAAATACCTAATATTTTTTTTATAAAATGTAAATAAATAATGAAAACGATTATATGCAAAAAAATGTATTTTTATTTATTTGGATTGAATTTTTTTTTTCAAAAATCTATAATTAAAAAAAATATTTAAAAATCCACGATTGGAAAAAATATTATTTGAAAATTCACGGTTGAAAAAAATATTATTTGAAAATCCACGATAGAAAAGATATTATTTAAAATTAAATAAAACGAGTTATATATATTTTGACATGTTTCATTATTATTCAAAATTTTGACCCTCCATAGGAGAGCTACCGATGGAGTAGTACAATATTCTCCATTTCACTTATGACCTGCTATAATCATTGGAGGTGACAGCTTTGGATAATGTGTATATACTTTTTGAAAATGCTCTTTTTTGGGAATCCACCAGAAAGAGTGGGTCAACATACCGCATATACATGATTTTTGAAGAAAATCCGAAGGTACCAGCGGGAGTGGCCCATACATTTCATATTCAGATCAGATCTCTTGTTGGTAAAGATATTGTAATATAGAAGATTTGAAGAAAATTCAAAAATTTGACCCTTTTGTGGGTGAGGTAACAGACTGAGAGGAGTGATATATTATATATTCATACTAGATCCTGTGTAGTTTTAGGTTGGGGGAGATATCGGAAGGAAAAGTTCGTTCCATCCGTACCTTATACCTCATCTTGTTTTGGTAGACATATTGGGATGTGCGAAATTTGAAGAGAATAGGATTCTTATTTCACATTTTGTAATAGTTTTTTTATGCAAAATGTTGACCCGTTATGCGGGAGGTATCAGAAGGTGTGAGTTGGTATATTCCATATTCACACCCTATCTTGTAATGGTTAAAATATTGGGATGTGCGAAATTTAAAATTTATGGTCGTTTTAGATACTCCAAATGTTGAACCTTTGTGGGGAATGTATACAAAGGAATGGTCCGATATATCCCATCTTCACATCAGATCTTGCTTTGGAAAAAAAATTTGGGAGGTGCGAAGTTTAAAAATCGGATGCTTATTTCGCATTTTATGAGCGTTTTAGTTATTCCAAATGTAGACCCTTTGGGGGGAGGTACCAGAAGGAGTGGTCCGCTATACAGGGTGAGATGAAAAAACTGCAACCAATTTCAGATTGCTGTCATTTCTAAGCCACTCGTCCGACAGCTGTTAAAATTATTCCAGCGACAGCTCATTATATTGTTTAGAAGCGTACAAAAGCATTTTGGTAAGAATTTTCCAGAAAAAAAATTATTCGTGATGGAATTCAAGCGGGATGGTGTGATTTCTTCATATTTGGCTGGAAAACCACAAGTGGCTATCCTTAGAGCACTTCAGGATTTAAATGTGAATAAATCTTTTGTGTCTCGTACCATCGCTCATTACCGTGATACTTGTAGCGTAGCCCAACGTCAAGGAAGTGGACGGAAGAGAACAGCAACATCAGCAGAAATGCTTCGAAAAGTAAAGAAACGACTTGATCGAAACCCGCGTCGCAGTGGCCGAAAAATGGCTTGTGAGGTGAACGTATCCCAATATTCCAATCGGTAGATATTGAAGAGTGAACTTACACCGCAACAGAAAGAAAATAGACTCAAAAGCGCTAAAGAGTTGCTTTGCTTGGCCGAAAGTGGTGAACTGCCGAATTTGGTTTTCTCCGATGAGAAAACATTCGTTGTCCAGCAATTTGTAAACGAACAAAATGATCGTGTTTACTTGCCAAAGAGGTCAGCTGAAAATGTCCACCTTCGGTTGGTCACTAGAACTCAAGCACGGGCCATGATGATGGTATGGGCCGCCATAACAGCCGATGGTCGCTCTCCGCTCGTATTAATCGACCGTGGCATCAGAAAAAATGCCGAATATTATAGCGAAAATATTCTGGAAGGTGTATTAAAACCTTTTGTCCGCAGACCTTGGACATTCCAACAGGACTCAGCACTGCCATTTATGGGCGCTTTAGATATTCCAACTTTGGACCCTTTGTGGTGGAGGTACTAGAAGGGGTAGTCCGATCTTGTCTATTCTCACATTTTCTATCCTAGAAATCAAAAGTAAACTCAATATAAGATTTCGGGATTCCAGCTATATCCCTTCATCCAAACCCAATTTAGTACCAATTAGTACTTTTCGAATAATTATGGTACACATTTTCAAAACCATCTCCATTTGTTAACCACGGACACTAACAGTGACATCTATATCAAATGTCAGCTTCATTCTATCACCCAATACCAAATGTAGTCCCATTTAGTACTATTGTGCAATTATATACGCATTTCCAAACTCACCTTCTCAAACCCACCATCTCAAACTCAGACATCAACAGCGACATCTATATCATATAAAGGGATTTCAGCTCTATTCCTTCACCAAATTTAGTACTACTTAGTTCTTTTGCATATCTCAATTCCAGATACCAACAGAGACCTGAATACAAAACTTGAGAATTCCAGCCCTATCTCTTCACTCAATACTAAATTTACAACCATTTAGTAATTTTGGTAAAATTATAGTACACTTTTCCGAACCCACTTCCAAGTCTCAATTCCAGATACCAACAGAGACCACAATATCAAATTTCAGGATTCCAGCTCTTTTCCTTCACCCTATTTAGTACACATTTCACAAAACTACCTCCATATCTTATCCCCAAACACCAACAGAGACTCAATATCAAATTCGAGACTCTAGCCTTAGATTATTTTTTCTTGACCCAATGACAAATTTAGTTCCAATCAGTACTTTTCGTAAAATTATAGTACACATTTCTGAAACCTCCTCGGTATGTCCAGGCTACACACGAACAGCGACTCTTAAACCAAATTTCAGATTTCAAGCACTATATGTTAAATCAATAACAAATTTAGTTCACTTTAGTACATTTTGAACAATAATAATACGCATTTCCAAGAAATTTCAAATTTCAGGATTTTCCCTTCTTTGGTCTTTGATTTCCCCAATACCAAATTTAGTACCATTTTAGTACGCATATCCAAAATCACCTCGAGATCACACCACAAACACCAACAGTGATCATAATATCAAATTTCAGGACTCTAGCTCTATCCAATACCAAATCAGTACTAATTAGTACTTTTCGTAAGACGCATTTCCAAACCGCCGCTAAATCTCAAACACATATACCATCAGTAATCTAATTATCAAATTTCAGAATTTTATTTCTAACCCTTCACCCAATATCAGATATAGTACCACTTAGTACTTTTAGTACAACTGTTCGCAAAATACCAAATTGTACCAAATATAGTTCTGTTTAGTACTTTTATGCACTTGTAGTACATATTACCTAAGCCCCCTCATTATGACAAACCTACCACCAACAGAGAACCCAATATAAAATTTCAAATTTTCAGCTACATTCGTTAACCCCAAATCAACTTGTTCTAAATTTAGTGCCATTTGGTACAGTTTGCACACGTAGTACCTTCATATATTAAACTTACTTTTCAACTTTGATTCTCGTACCAAAATTCAAGTTTTAGCTCTAATCGTTCACATAATACCAAATGGTACCATTCAAGAGGTTTAGTACCATTTTAGAAATTTTTCGTAACCTTTTGAGTTCGAGTTTTTTAAAAACCTTTTGGTAAATATATCCTGCACTCCATCTTTGATTCTCATTCCAGATTTCTAAATTCCAGCTCATTCCGTTTGTACAATACAAAGTATTGAAGTTTTAATGCATTTTAGTAGTTTTCCTTTTCGTTCTTATTTCCAAAGTCTAAGGCTAGCACGCCTACGCATGACCTTCGCGCAATATTTCAAGATTTTTAGCTTCAACCGTTTCATATAGGCGTTGATTATCCGTCGTTTAATATTTAGATTAGATTATTAGTCTGGCAACTATGATAGTAATGAAATTCCCCAAAATTATTGCATACTTTGAGGCACTCAACAAATAACAATGAAATCAAAAAGAAAACACCAACTCTTCTCTTTTGTTCAACGAATAAAAATTTTAAATTTTATTTGATTTCCTTGCTTAAATCTATAAGTAAACTTTCCAATATTTATAATAATAATATTATATACTATAATTTATCAGCGTGATGTTAGTTTCGTTCTTTTACTTTGATTAGCTGCAAAATGTTTCTTTGGTAAATGTTACTGCTAGTTAAAAAATAGGCTTTGAGTAAAACAAACATTTTATGCATCGCAATAAAACAAAATATAATTTTTGCCTTTTTTTCATATAAACTTTTCAATATCATTGTTATCATAATTTTTTCTACATGAAATTTGTTTTGAACCAAAATCATCTATGTACATCATAAGTATAATGTAAGTTTATGTGTTAACAATTACTATAAATACTATATTCAATATATGTATATTTTAGATACACACTGTTGTCAATAAAAAAAATGCGTTTAAAATGGTTGTGTAGATTTCTTGATATAATTAGAATGGAGGTCAGAAAGGATCAGAAAGGAAACGACGTCTCAATGAGAAATCTCATTGATCTTATTGCGCAATTCTCTTTACGTTCTTCAGAATAAAAATGGGACTATCTAAATTTTGCCATTATGTTTGTAACCCGTTTTACTATTTGTCTGAGGCCCACAAAGTACATAAAATGCTAAGTTAATTTTATGGTCTCAATTTAAAATTATTTTTACAAAAATTATTTTCATTCTAAAATTTTGCAAATTTTTATGTGGAAACAACTTAGATTTAACATTGTTCTGTGTTGAATTAATATTGAATCCATTTTGAATTAATACTAAATTATTTTTTACTTAACATAATTTTTTTTTTTTTTTTTTTTTGAATCAATGTGAACATGTCATTAATTTAAGGTTTTTCATTTTATAATTTAAAAAGAAAAAAAACATTAAGTTCAGCCATGCCGAACTTTCAATACCCTCCACCTTAGGGTAAAAGAAATATTTTTATGTAAAAGTAAGACCGTTTGCATAATGCAGTTAAATTTATCAAAAACGCATAAAGTGAGTCAGGCCGTTGTATGGGACCATACCAAAACGGGAACCTCTAAAAATACCAAATTTGAAACAATTATGTGGGTAAA